CACTTTCCCAGGCACCAAATAAATACCGGCTACATTCCTACCACGTATGTAAGATCACATTAAACCAATGGATTACTGAACACCGGTATAAATTGCGCAGGAGTTAATTAACCGAATACGAGAAGCTGCTCGAGAAGATTGCATAATAAGGATGTTCAGGCCACAGTTCAGGGCGTTCAGCCAACACAGGCACTTGTTTGGAGTTACAGACTCAAATGTATGTTTTCCGTCATTCAACGATTCCTGTTGAATTTACCGTTCATCTTTGTCCATCTTATTGTCACTCTCTACTTATCCATGGTTAATGGAGTTTTAAATAATTACGAAGCAACAGGTATTTATGTAATGATAATTAGGCAGATTACCTTGAAAAACATTGTTGCCGTTTTTCTAATATAGTTTTTTGCAAATTTCTCAGTTTTTAATAACAATTAATTTTTTTTACGAATTTTCCTGCACTCTTAAAACACCGCCAGACAACACCTCCAGAGGAATGACTCCAATTTTGAATCACCCTGTATATAAAGTGACAAAATCTTGCGAAATGTGCAAATTTCTATTACCTGAATATTAATAGTTCTCTAGGGTGTCAAAGCGTAAATAAATGTTCTCTTTTTAAATAGATGCTTAACCCGTTTTACTACTACCAAAATTTTTGTCTTTAGTAGTCCTTTCGATCGAGGATCCAAATTTCCTATTGCTGAGCTTGTAGTTTCTAGAGGACGCTAACTGCAATAGTCTGTAGTCATTTAAAACATCAGGTCTTTTTGGAATCTTAAAATCTGGCGCTGACTTTGACAATATCTCGTTCTCCGATGTGTTTTAAACAAAAAACGTATACTTGGTTTGGACCAAATCGATATCTTTCACCGATTTTGCGATATTTCACATTGAAAGCTCTAGTGATTTTTTGAACTAAACTGTTCCACAAAATCAACGTTAACAGCCAAATTTTCCCTAACTTTGGAAGTGGATAAACTACGACTGCTAAGATCGAACTGATTTATGTTTGAAGCGTTATTTAGTGAAATTTTATATTTCGGTCGGCAAAAAATCAATGCGTCAAAGTTTCACAGTTCCATCCAAGCTTCCACAGGGTGGCAAAGGAACAATTCAAAATTGGTAGAGTTGCACATTTTCCTAGATATACAAAAAAACGCTTTTTGTGTTTCAACACCACAGGCATTAAGTTTACTTTTTTTGTGCATCTTGTTGCATTTACAGAGTGACCCGAAAAAAATAATTTTTTGGTTTTGCATTGACAAACTTATCTTTCTTGCATCGATTTGCACAGTATAAGGCTCATGTTGAAGCTGAAACTTCATTGACAATCTAAGTCGAAAATTCGATGTAGAGGGTTGCACGAAATCTAACCCAAATCAAAATTGCCCTCAAAATCTGTGATTTTGAAAGAGCTTCAACTAAGTGATGTTTACTTAACAATTTGGATTCGTCGATCTGAAAACCCCCAAACACTTTTTTTTTGTTAATAGTAAAATGCATTTTTACCTCGGAATCAGAAAGCCGATTCTCAAAGCAATAATTGTCGTGTTTTTCCAAAGTCAATTTGGATCAATTTATCGACCAAATTCTTCACATTTCCCGCTCAAACTCAGCCATATAAAACGGTCCCAAATTGTATTAAAACCATATAGAATCAAACGGAAATGAGGGGGAAATTTATGCCCATTACGGGTCATAAATGGTATCGGAATCGGGTTGAAATGCCCCCATAGAAAGCATATTCCCAATTACCAATATTGAGCGATCGTTCTTAATCGGAGGTTTACGTGGATTTCCTTACCTGGTAAACACCAGACAAATGAGGGTGGCCGATAGAATGGTCAATTGTTGCGATAGAGCCGATTGCGATTTCTGCATCGCTCTATGCAGATCGTTCTGGAACAAAACCGATTATTTCCAGAAGTTATTTTTTTTCCGGAATTTTTACTCACAAACATATTTTCTAAGGACCGTTTGGCCAGCCAGCAGTTTAAAAACACTGGAATAAACATCGTCCTCAATGGCGCATAGAAAATCTGAAACATAGAGCCTGTTAATTGGAGTACATTCGCCTCTATGGCATCCAGCTTTTCGCAAAACTCGCATACACTTAGAGCTTATTAAAGTTTGAACGTTGCGTGATTTGAACGCTGCAAATACAACTAATTATACAGTGGCGCTTAATAAAACTGCTACGCCAAGGTTATGGCTCCACAAGGAGATTATTAGATAGAGCTGGTTTTTTGCCATTTTAGTTTAATATTTAACGAACCATAGGCGCTGTTAATTGGGTTGCAAGTGAGCGAAGAATGCCCCTATTTCAGCTGAACGCGTAAACGGGCGCGATAAATAGGAACAATTCCACCCTCTGGAAAAGCCATTAGAAAATTAGATACCCACGTATTCTATTATTGATTGATATTACGCCAGCTGTCTGGTAATGAAATGCCAAACTCAATTACAGTAGCTATAAAATCTACTGAGCGATTTGCGTCTTTAACGTTCTAAGGTTTAGATGGGGGTTTTGATCGTCCTGAAGATGACTGCCAACCGAAACTTGTGTTGTTTATTGATTATGTTGAACGTTGTTCTTTCTCATACGAAACTGTCTAGGCTTTCCTTTTTACTGAGTATAGAGTAATTTTTATCGAGATACATTCTCACCACACTGACATTTCACTGCAGTTTCAAAGTTCACCATTTTTTTTTAAATATTCCTGATGATGACTGCGAACCGAAACTCATCGCATGTATAGAGCAAGTTTTCCTATTTTGAATACCGACATATCATGTCATATTAGTCATATCGATGACTCCAGTTCAATTGGGTTTTTAGTCATTCATACAGGAAGGCATACTCAAATTTCGCAATTTAAAAAAATAGCGCTGATGACTACTGTAAGTGGAAACTTGTCGCGACAAGAGATCAAACTTTCCCCTTTCTAAGGCAATAATTCGTATGGTTCCACCTCTATTTAGTTTCGAGTTATTGATATAGGAACACAAACCGGCCAAACTGGCAAACTTCACAATTGACAAAAAAATGGACCTGATGATGGCTGTAAATCGAAAATTGTCGCGACAATAGAAGAAAATGTCCTCTTTATATCGCAGGAATTCACATGGCTGCAACTCGATTGAGTTTCGAATAATTCAGATATGAAGACAGACCGATGAAACTGGCAACTACCGCTATTCAAAATCAAAATTTACAATTTCAAAAAAAATAGCCCTGATGATGACTGTAAATCAAAACTTGCCGCGACAATAGAACAAACTGTCCTCTTTCTAATGCGGGAATTCACATGGTTGCAGCTCGATTGAGTTTCGAGTAATTGAAAGAGGAAGACAGACCCATAAAACTGGCAACTACCGCCATTGAAAATCAAACTTCGCAATTTCAAAAAAATAACCCTGATGATGACTGAAAATCGAAACTTGCCGCGACAATAGAACAAACTGTCCCCTTTCTGACTCATTATTTCGCATGGTTCCAGTTCTATTGGGTTTCGAGGAATTGAGAGAGGAAGACAGACCGATGAAACTGGCAACTATCGCCAGTCAAAATCAAATTTTACAATTTCAAAAGATAGCCCTGATGATGACTGTAAATCGAAACTTGCCAAGCCAATAGAACAAACTGTCCTCTTTCTAATGCGGGAATTCACATGGTTGTAACTCCATCGAGTTTCGAGTAACTGAGAGAGGAAGACAGACCCTCAAAACTGGCGACTACCGCCGTTCAAAATCAAATTTCGCAAATTCCAAAAAATAGCCCTAATGAAGACTGTAAATCGAAACTTGCCACGCCAATAGAACAAACTGTCCTTTTTCTAAAGCATTAATTCACATTGTGACAACTCGATTGAGTTTCGAGTAATTGAGAGACGAAGACAGACCGATGAAACTGGCTACTACCTCCATTCAAAGTCAAACTTTACAATTTCAAAAAAATAGCCCTGATGATGACTGTCAATCGAAACTTGCCGCGACAATAGAACAAACTGTCCTCTTTCCAATGCGGGAATTAGCAGGGTTGCAGCGCTATTGAGTTTCGAGTAATTGAGAGAGGAAGACAGACCCATAAAACTGGCAACTACCGCCATTCAAAATGAAACTTCGCAATTTCAAAAAAATAACCCTGATGATGACTGTAAATCGAAACTTGCCGCGCCAATAGAACAAACTGCCCTCTTTCTAAAGCAGGAATTCATATGGTTGCAACTCGATTGAGTTTCGAGTAATTGAGTGAGGAAGACAGACCCATAAAACTGGCAACTACCGCCGTTCAAAATCAAACTTCGCAACTTCAAAAAAATAGACCTGATGATGACTGTAAATCGAAACTTGCCGCACCAATAGAACAAACTGTCCTCTTTCTAACGCAAGAATTCACATGGTTCCAACTCTTTTGAGTTTCGAGTGATTCATGCAGGAAGAAAGACCGACCAAACTGGCAACTGTCGCCATGCAAAGACAAACTTCGCAATAAGAAATAAAATATTCCTGATGATGACGATGATGATGATGAAATTTCTCTCGAAAATATAACAAACTTTTCTCTTTCTAAAACTATAGTTCACATGTTTCCCACACTATTGAATTTCAAGTAATTCTTCTTATTTCAATTAAAACTGGCGATCATCATTCAAAGTCGAACTTCACAATAAAAAAAAATAGCCCTGATCATGACTGTAAATTGAACCTTGTGGCCCAGATAGAGTCAACCTTATTCACGCTAATGCAAAAATTCCCGTTACTCTTCATCTACAGTTTTGAATAATTTCCCGAAAAGCGTTAAAGGAACTCATTTACACATTTAAAGCGCTATTCATGCATTAAAACAGCCAAGCTCTTACTTACTGTAAATGTAAATGGCACCGTGTTCAGTATTTCTAAAACGAAATGGAACGATAAAAGCTGCTGCCATATATTACCCTGGAACAACACAAAAGCTATAAACACGCCTTTTTACGCTGACACTAGCTGGATTAATCCAGGCGAGAGCAAGTGCCTACCTTGTATCCGAGATATGCCAGCAAAAGGGACTCGATTAGGCTGATGATGGCCAGAACCACTTGAACCATCCAGAGTTCGAGGGGGCGGTTCACCCACAGAATCGCGTCCCAGTTGATGATCGGGTTCTCTTGGAACTTTTCTTCGGTCAAGTTGGCCGACAAGATGTATTCGCTTTTGTTGCCGGAGACACAGCCATAACTGATCGGAAACGCTCAGAATCATTACATGCACATCCCGAAGAATCGGCAAATTCACTTACCAGGTTGCATATATGGGATTCAGGTCGGTAACGACCCGGATTATATACAAAGCGCATGTAAGAAGTTTTAAAAATAGATTCGCAATTCGTATCCTAAGACCTGAAACAAACGAAAAACCCTACTGAACATCAACTGTTTCAAAGGCAAATGATTTCGCGCAAAAGAAACTAGCAGGTTTTCTAGGTATTTAATCCTCTTATCTAAAGTGCCTTGCACTTGTTCTCAAACGGCAATTTCCTACAAGCATGATTTAAATCGCGCAAAATGGTAAAAGTCTGAACTTTCCACAGTCGTGTTCATTTTGCTGCTCCGATTTGCTAAAGGCCCTGAAAGCTTGGGGTTTAATGAGCCCTCACTAAATCTGCCAATAGTGTTCCCCCTCCCAATCAATTCCAGGAGATTAATGGCCTTTCCCTTGGTTCAAATCAAGTGGCAGGTTAACTGGCTGCTCTTATTCTTTTTCGAACGCAACCCGATCCAGAATCACAATCCGAATCGATAGTGGTGCAATTTAAACGTTTCAGCCAGCTGAAACAGCGGTTTCATGCATTTTTTAGCCTGCACATGGTTTTAAACTGGCTTTTGGGTAACAACGGCTCAGTTTCCAGCTCACAAATGAGTCAATTATTCATCAGACAATGTGCACTATGGATTCTGAAGTAATCGAAACGGCACAATGTGGGTGGTTGCTTATTTTAAGATAGTAAGTAGGTCGGGGATATTGTCTTCGATACGATTGTTTGTAGTGACTGAAATTCGTTCTGTGCAAAATGGGACTGTGCCTTCAAACCCCCGCTTAGGAGGCAAATTGCTGTTCCTGAGTTGATTTACAATTAATTCAAGAAGTTTGTGCAGTTTTGGGCTTCCAAAGTCCGATTCTGGATTTCTGGGTTCATCGGTGAAATATTGCCATACTGATTGTGGAAATGTATAACAGAAACTTTAGGTTACTAGTACCTCAAATTTAAGTCGATTATCTTCGTTAGTTTCTTTAGAATCAATTCAGAAACTTTGAGCGTTTTTCCGCGCCTCTAAGAGGTTTACACCAGTGTCTTCAGATTTTTTTTATATTTGTAAGAGAAATATTCCAGCTTGAAGCCTTAGCTTTGGGCCTCCTAAAATGTCCTCGCTTCATTAAATTTTCTGCAATAAATTCCGAAAGTTTTAACACTTTTTCGGGTTTTTAGGATTTTTGTGCCGCTGGTTCCCGGAACCGATTTCTGGATGCTCAGACCAGTTACAATTTTGCCGATTTTAGAGGCTCATAAAGTAAGTTTCACTTCAGTTGAATATCGAGTTTCAATCGATGATTTCCTGCAAATGTTATGCAAACAATTTCAAAACTTTCAAATAATTTTGACTTCTTCCAGACGTTTGCACCATCAAAGGCCACTTTCTCGATTCATCGATCAAACATTCCGATCCGGATTTCAGAAATCCATAAGGGGAGTTTCATAATAATATCACTGTAAATTAATCGATTCTCCTCATTAATTCTTCGGCAATTAAATCAGGAACTTTGGACATATTTTTTCGGAGAGTTCGGGATTTTTCCTTGATTTGCTCCAGTCTCTTCTGAAGCTAATTTTTTTTTAATTCTTAACTCAGAAAATCCTGTTTGCGTTTCGGAAACCATTAGCAAGCCTTGGTGTACAAACAGCTGAAATTTCGATCAATTGATTCTTTTCATTAGTTGGATTTTTCGTCGATTCTTTTCATCAAAGCACTTAACTTCTCAACTTTTCAATATTTTTTACTTCTGGAAAAGGTTGACACCACTGCCACTTCAATATCCCTTTTCTGGATCTTTTGTGAAGATGTAGCGACGAGAGCTTTTGCTGGAACTTAGAGAACAAGCTTCAATGTAGTGCCAGCTGAAATTTCACTGAAATTCCTGTTCCAATTACGCGAGAATTAATTCGGAAACTTTGGCCACTTGCCTGCGTTTTTAAGATGTATGCACCCCTGTCTTCAAAGGCCCAATTCTGGATTCTTTGACTCAATATTGCGAAGGCAATTTCAGTATTCCTTAGAGGAAGCTTAGTAGGACTTTCAGTTAAATATTGAATGAATTCCCTTCATTGATTCTTATGCAATGAATTTGGGCACTATCGACACCGTTTCTCGTTTTCAGAAGTTTTGCGTGACTGTCTTCAACCCATTTCTGCATTCAGCGATCAGATATCTCAATGAAGGTTTCGGAATTCAACAGGGTAAGATTTGTCGACCTTTCAGCTCAAATTTGAATCAATTCTCTCCGATTTCTTCTGGAATAAATTCGGAAATTTTAAACAATTTTTTGCGTTTTCGGGAATTTTGCGCCACTGTATACAAAAGTCCATTTTTCTATTCTCTGCAAAGATATCTCAATTCGGATTTCAACATTCCATAGAACAAGCTTGGGAGAACTGTCAACTAAAACTTCAATCAATTCCCTGCATTAGTTCTTCCGGAATTAATTAGGAAACTTTAAACCTTTTTTGCGTTTTCAGGAATTTTGCTTCAACTGTCTACAAAGGCCAAATTTTTATTATCTGGATAGATATCTCAATGGAGACTTTATGGTTCCTTAGCAGAGACCTTTAAGCCAAAACTTCAATAAATTTCCTGCAGTGGTTCTTCCGGAATTAATTCGGAGACTTTAAACAGTTTTTTGCGCTTTCGGAAATTTTGGGACACTGTCTACAAAGGCCAAATTTTTTATTCTCTGCTCAGATATTTAAATATTAATTTCAAGATTCCACAGAACAAGCCGAGAACAACTTTCAGCTCAAATTTCAATTAATGCCCTTTATTAGTTCTTCTGGAATTAATTAAGAAACTTTGAACACTTTTTCGCGTTTTCAGGAATTTTACACCACTGCTCTCAAAGGCCCACTTCTGGATTCTTCGACTAGACATCCGGATACGGATTTCAGAAATCCCGAAAGCATATCTCAGGACACTCTCAGCCCAAATTTTAAGCAATTTCCTAGAACAGTGCGTGTAGAATTAACTCGCAAGCCATGAACACTTATTTGTTTTCCAGGATTTTTGTACCAACGTTTTCAAAAGTCCATTTATAAATTCTTCAGCTGGATATCGCAATAACGAATCCGGCATGCACGTAACAAACATTGGCGAACTTTCAGCACCATTTTAAGTCAATTGCCTGCATCAGTTCTTTTGGAATTAATTCGAAAACTTGATACTTTTTTGGCGTTTTGAGGATTTTTGCCTCAATGTCTTTCAAAGCCAATTTGTGAAATCTTCGACTATATATCTCAATGCGAGTTTCATAAATTCACAGAAAAGACTTCGGAATACTTGGAGCTCAAATTTTAATCGATTCTCTTCATTAATTCCATTGGGAACATTGAAACACTCTTTCCATTCGCCACCGGCAAAAGGGATTTTCTGGCTGCCTGGTGAACTCAAATGCAGATAAATCCATGTGACAAACCATGAGCATACGGCGTATTGAAACATTCAACACCATTCCAAAGCCAAGTCGATTTAGCCGACAGCAAACATCGACACGCACATTCGTTCAACTGTTTGCTCATACAACAAGTGTAGGCAAACAACGTACACGAATAAATAAAAAATTGCCAAGCGGGGGTTTTTCAAAGCGATAATATTTCCCTAGAGATTCTAACAGGAGGGGACACACATTCTTCATTATATATCGATATTTGATCAGCAATCCCCAAAAGGCCACTGGAATAGAGCGGCGCAAGAGCTCCGCTCTATCTTAACAATCAAGCATGCTACTACTTGTAACTAACTAACGCAAAGTGGTACTTACTAGATCTCTGATTCTTAATAAAATAGATTTGCAGTCGTTCCTTAAAAGTATTTTCATTGACGTAATATTCTACTCGGACCCTGAAACAAAAGAGACAAGTTAGGGCATGCCGACTGAAAGCTTTCGCTAAACTAATTACCAACTCAAGCGGAGACAACCAACAGAAGGACTGTCGATATGTCTTTTATGCGATTTCCAGCTCGCCCTTAGTGTGGGCCCCTTGCCGTACAATTTCAAATTACTTCCAGAATATCCAGAAGAATTCAGTTTATAGAGTAGCAAATTGGGTTCCCGAGTGTCGTGCCCGAAGGGGAAAAGTGTTTAATGTCGAAGTTGTGCCGCGCCCTTCGGGCACGACAATGATTTTAACGCGAAAACACTCGAAATGTTGCCTTCCAACCAGAATGAATTTGGCGTTTTTTTCGTTGAAAACAGGGTCGTGCCCGAAGAGCTCGGCTCTGCGTCAACTTTAAACAGTCTTTAATGCGTTTTTGTGCCTGTCACTACACTGACTTTCACGCGAAAAATACTCGTACCTTTCCAATTTTTCCGATCTATTCAGTGTCCTGCCCAAAGAGCTTTTTACAATAAACACCTTAAAAATTTAAGTGCCGTAAGTAAAAATTTAAATTTAAGTGTCGTGCCCTAATGCGTTTTTGTGTTGGCCACGGTACTGACTTTGACGCAAAAAACACAAAGAAATTGCGTTTTTACCTTTTCCGCTCCAACCAGAGTGAATTTAGTGTTTTTCTAGTCAAAAACAGTGTCGCTCATCTTCGACAATAAACACTCTTTAATGCGTTTTTGTACCGACCACAACACTGACTTGACTCTAAAATCACTCAAAATTTACTTTTTTTCTCGTCAAAAACAGTGTCATGCCCGAAGGACTCGGCACAACTTGGATACTGAACACTGTTTAATGTGTTTTTGTGCCGAACAGTTGGGGTACGACACTGACTTTGACGCAAAAGACACTCAAACTTTTACAATTTTTCCCATCTATTCAGAGTCCTACCCAAAGGGTTAATCACAATAATCGCCTTAAAAAGCGTCTCGAAGTTTTACCGGAGCCTTCGGAAACGACACTAATTTTGAGGTGAGAAAACACTAAAAATTTTGCGATTTTTATCTTTTGCGATCCAATAGCGTGAATTTAGAGTGTTTTTATCATCAAAAACAGTGTCGTGCCAGAAGGGCTCGGCACAACTTCCACATTAAACACTTTAATGCGTTTGTTGTGCCGAGCCCATCGGACACGACATACAACACAATACTTGAAACAAACACAATTTTGAAGGTTTTTACTTTTGCGCATCTATTCATTGCCGTGAACTAAGGCTTCGGCACAACTTCGAAATTAAACACTTTTTAATGTTGAAGTTGTGCCGAGCCCTTCGGGCACAACACTGATTTTTCGGCAAAACAAACGCAATGATCTAAGCGATTTTTCACTTCTAGCTGTCCATTTGTGCGGAACTCTTTAAAGCGCTTAAAAATTCGAATCTTCCAATTCCATTCATTTATTCCAAGCAGTCAATTGAAGAACCAATTTAAAATTTTTGCCATATTGAGAGTCAAACTCTTGGTTCAATTTTTGCGCAAACCACCGCTTTTTGTCACCTCGACATTAAACACTATTTAATGCGGTTGTTGTCCGAGCCCTTCGGGCCCGATACTGATTCTGAGACGAAAATCACTGAATATTTTGCAGATTTTCACTTTTTCCCATTTATTCAGTGTCGCGCCCGAAGAGCTCGGCACAACTTCAACATTAAACACTTTTTAATACGTTTGTTGTGCCGAGCTCTTAGGTCACGACACTGATTTTGCAGCAAAAAAACGCAAAAAAATGTTCACTTCCTGCCGTCCAATTGTGTCGAATTCTTCAAAGCGCTTAAAAAGTTCCATCTTCTAAACTAAATTTAGTACCAATTTAAAAATTTCCCTATTTCTAGAAGACATTTGGCTCTAAATATGTGTAAGATTTCAAACATTTTCGCAAAATCGTTGATTGATCTGCAAAATCGCCCCAATATCCTGATTTTTTTCCGGCTTATTAAATATCGGTCTTAAAATGTACATTTTTGCCAAACATCTCTCATAAAAAAATTCCACCAGAATAGAGATTTTTACCAGCTGACTAAAAATCCCAAAAATGGTCCCAAAAAGTCAGTTTTCATCCAACAGGGCTCTTTTCGTTAAAAATTCCAATAAAACCCCGATTTTCATGCAGTTTCCCTCGCCTTAATGGGAGTAAAACACGCGTGAGCCCACACATTTCGCACTAAAGCTAAAGTCCTTCGGACATGAATAATCCGCAATATCGACATGAATTATGATCCTCTTTCCCTGCCCGAAATACGGCTTAGGTCCAAGTACAATGGAGTTGCTTTAACTGTAACTCTAATTTGTGCCGACAGCTCGAACATAAAGTTGATTAATCGCGCCCTGCATGGACAATGTACGGCCATAATACATGTGTCGGCATTTGGGAACCTTCCAAAAAGCCGAATTGGCTTCTTATCAATGCCTCCAAGCAACAGCTACAAAGCCGAGGAAATTGCTCGCTCTGTTTACTCTTGTTGGTGGGTTTGTTTTGGTTTGTTAGTGCTGTTGCAACGGATTCCTGCAATTAAGCAAATTCTGGATAATTCGGGTAAAACGGGGTCCAATGGAACAGTGGCAAGTAAACTAAGAAGAAACTGCATCCATGCCGATTCTGATAATGTGTGAACAAACGGACAGACTCACGGCACGTCGGAAATAAAGGTCAAAGTTCCGAAGTTCACAATGCCAGTAAACAGGGAGATGTGGAGAGAACGTTCGATGAAATTAGCTCCACTTAGTGCACATCCCTATCAATAAACTGGAATGCTTAAGGGATTAAGGCAAATCTTTCTGGAACAATGACGTCAAACATCCAGGAAGGTGAGGTGGGATAAAAGCCCCCAGAGCCTCTTAGTGAGTTAGTTAGTTTGGCAATCGATTAATATCTCAACAAAAACAGTCACAGGCTGTGCAGGAAAACCGCCTTAGATTTTTACCACTACCTGCCGGAAAACGAGGCCTAAGCCCACAAAAGATCAGTGCGCAAACCAACCCATGCAACCCTTCTTTCAATAAGAAAATAAACATTCAGCCAAGGCATTGGATGGAAAGTAGGGCAAAGATCCATGTAAATCTAAAGTATCCTACCAGTACACTGGGATGTAATCAGAATGGGGCTGGAACAAAAAGCACGGGAAAACCTAAAAAAAAAAAGCAAATCGCACCTGGGTATTCTGTCGTAACTGTCCCAACTAGTTAAGCAGTTGTACGAGGAATATCTACTGGAAGAACCCATAATAGCTAGGTTAACACGAGCGGAAAGCGAAGCGCCGCAACGGAGCGCCTCATATTCACCCCACTAGGCGCCACACGCCACTGCAGGATGACGCCGAGCGTCGCTTCTTCGACGACGGCGACGCCGCTCCTCCACGGCTCCTCCCCATAGGCACGCACCTACAAAAAGCCGCGTTTTTTCGATCCGGATATCATCTATTACATTATATTTTGCTCGCTAATGGAAAAAAATTGCAGGACCTCACTGGCTCTAGGTGCAAACCAGATTTTGGGCCATGTAACATTTATTTATACGCGATCCGCTCATTAATCAAAATCATCATTAGACGCCCGCTTTGCCTCGTTTCCGGAAAATGATCCGGTTTTTTGCGAATTTTATAAGCAGCGCATCGCATCCATGGGAAAAAATTCCAGTTATCCAGCCAGTTGAGATGGTCCATACAGTTATTTACCCGGGGGTTTAGAACGCAACTGAGGACACATTCAGTGCGTTTGACGCCGTTTGAAGCAGGCATTTGACCTGGACAAGATCGAAAATACCGGGACAAAAATCCGAGTTTGAACCACTGCAGGAATCACAATTCCCAAACCAGTCAAAAAAAAAACAAACTAATTTCAATACGGAATTAATGGGGCCCACAGCTATGACACTGATCAATATTCACTGAGTTTTAGGCAGCGGCTACATTTTGAAAAATTTCTGAACTTTGAGCTCATAAATACCACTGAGCAATTTGAGATTGTAATCTCTTGGGCAAAAACTCGCATTTTCGAAGCCAGTAAAAAATTGCAACTCTTTTTTCTGCCTCGTGTGGAAGAAGCCTTCAAATGGATATGGACAAAATTTCGTAGAGTTTCACTAAGACACTGAGTTTTGAAGAAATGCGAAACTTTAGGCACAAAAACGCCACGTTTAGCCACTAAAATCTCTTGGGCAAAAAATCGCAACTTTCACACCAGTGAACAAAATCCAACTACTTTCTCTACATCGTGTGGCCGACGCCCTTATATGGATATGGACAAAATTTCGTCTAGTTTCACTAAGACACTGAGTTTTTAAAAAATGTGAAACTTTGGGCACAAAAACGCCAGTTATAGCCATTGCAATCTCTTGGGCAAAAAATTGCAACTTACGAACCAGTCAAAAAATTCAAATCTCTTCTCTACATCATGTGGATGAAATCCTCAGCTAGGTATGAACCAAATTTTGTCAACTTTCTGTAAAACGCTGAATTTTGAAAAATTGCGAATCTTTCGGCACAAAAACGCCAGGTTTAGCAATTGCAATCTCTTGGGCGAAAAATTGCAACTTCTAAATCAGTTAAAAAAAATCCCACTTTTTTGTCTACCTCTTATCGACGAAGCCAGATAAATCCAGATAAATCCAGATAAATCCAGATAAATATGGACTAAATTTGATCCAGTTTCACTTACAAACTGAATTTTGAAAAATTTCTAAACTGTAGGCTCCAAAACGCCTCTTTGAGCCAAATCAACCTCTTGAAAAATAAGATCGAATTCCTAATATTCACCGGGAGTTGGCCAACCATCCAACTAAAGATTCATCAAGTTTGACTCAACTCCAAAACGGACCGGATTTTTATAAGATGATAATTGAAAAACCTGCACTTAATAGATACCAAAAAGTGAGGCTTAGTGGAGCATGCAAATAATTAATCTATAAAATACGTGTATGACAAAAGCAATCAAAGAATAATTTATTTAAATGGCGTTAAAATGGCCATTTTATACCGTTCGTGCTCGCTGCCGCAAACGCTCCTAATGGAAAATTAGAATCTACTGACTCGATGTTTAGTCGCTCGTTTTCCATGATAAACTATTCAAAACGTCGCTTTAAACGAAATAAACCGGCGGCCATTTATAATTCAAAACTAGTCTTTAGCGTTAAATTAGCTCTATCCTGGACACGAAGCTACAAAAGCCATTCCTAAGACCTGATTGCATCAGATTGTGGGCAAAACGGAGCACTTTGTCGTTTATCTCTTGTCTACGCGTCCTCAACCCATTCTAAATTTCCATTGGCAAATTGCGAATCCAGGAAATTAGGCCTGGATGGGGATCAAGTCCCTTATTGAACTCACATCTCAATTTGGGCCTTACAAATAAGGGGGAGTGTGAGCGAGATTGGCTAATTTCGTTCTGAGAAGTGGGGCGCAATGAGATTGAACTCGCTCGTATCTTTCTGCAACTGTTTTCATTAGCCGACCAAGCGCTTTATGGGCTCAGACAGCAACTGGAGCCACTAAACAACCCTTTTCTTATAGCGAATGTTTGTACTGTCCCATGGGTCAGCTGTTTGGATGAATCAATACTTTGGCGTCTGCCAGGTGAAAGAGTCGAACAAGAGCAGTTTCTTCACTCTTTGTCCAACTACGATAGAGGTTTCCCGGTGGCTCTGTGCGCTTTTTCTCTACATTCCGCACTCGAGTCAATTTGTTTCTGTTTTACAACTGGCGGAATGCGATTGACTGGAGAACTTTCTGAGGAAATCGTCTAGGCCTGGGTAACACTGAGCCCTTAATGAGCTATAACTCATTTATTAGCGCGTATTTGTACAAAAATGGCCTAGATTTACTCGCTTTTAGTCGAGAACACAATAATGTTGTAAATTGAGAAGGAAATTAAAGCGTCTGGACAACATCAATTAATAATTCGGTTTATTTTAAGTGAGTGCCACTCATGCAACTTCATGGAACTCCAAACAGAGATCAGTGAGAACTACGATCTACAGTGGGACACTGGGACTACACGAAAAAAGAGACATAAATTAATATTTACATAAGAGCACCTGGGTATCTGCAAGGCCACTTCGTCAAGGCTGTCGGAGGGAGTGAGGGGAGGCCTTTCGAACAGCCTGCTGGGGGCTAACGTAAGGGGGGTGGTAATGGGGTACCGATGGACGATGGTACCTCTTCTCGATCGCTGCAGCTGGCGCTGCTGTTGCTGCTGCTGCTGCTGCTGCTGCTTCTTTCGCTTGTCCTCCTCTTGAGCTCTGCGCAAGTTGTGCAGCCGAAAGAAGTACATAGACATTCTACGGAATAACACCTCTATTTACTTTAGATCGACCTAAGAGATTCTAGTATTAATGAGCTATTTTTTTAGCGTTTTCTAATGTGTTAGGAATGCAAAATATTCTCGCGTTGTGATGAACTGATTAAGAGTACGCTCTTTTTCCAAATAGGCTGTTTTTTGTTATTAAAACGCATTTTGCAAGCACGAGTGATTTGCATCTTCAAAGGCGGTTGCTTTAGGTTCAGTGTTGCGGCACACCTCTGAAGACGCGGGCCATACGTGCTTGCGAAACGTCCGCTATGTGAATAAGTTTTGATAAACAGTTCACTTCTTATAGAGAAATAAAAGCACTCGTTATCACTTTGTCACTAAACGCGTAAAGAAATTCTGCCTTCCTCAGAAAAATCTCCACCGGGAACCACCGCGATCTGCAGGCTGTACCAAATTTAATAATAACAAAGTTACTAATGGTGCGCACTTTGGTACACCCTGTATACAAAAACTACCAGAACTTTCTATTTGGTAACGGGAATAAACCAATTTTTTTCGGGTTGGTGCGCTGCACAATATCTATTATTCTAGGTAGTATTTATACGACATATTTGGAATCAGTCTCGATTTTGACTCTATTAATTGACAATAACAAACTCTCTAGCTCTAATTTTAAACGAGAAACTTAGAGCCCCATTCAGAGTCCATCTATCTTCTCCCAGTCTCTTGATCTTAAACTTACCAGCACACTTTAGCAACCAGTTTAATGAGCGGCCCAAAGCAAACAACCGCATTTCTCAAACTCTATATTTATATTTGTCTTAGGGAGTTTCTCGCCGCAGGTATAACGATTAACCTACATATTTCCTGGCTGGCTTTACTGTGCCTTACTGGAAATTAGACTTTCGACTGGACTCTAAAGCGTTAATATCCCGCATAAAACCCATTTTATTAGTCTATGTGCGATTACATTGGGATCAATTAACGGCCAACATCAATATTGTGTTGGATATTTGGACAGGACGTGAAATGTTTTTCCGTTTTTATGAGCTAAAGAGAAACTGGGTAAAAGACGTTTTTCGAAAAATCCAACTATTTTAGGAAATTCTGGCAGATTGACTGGCGGACTTTTTTTTAACTACAAAGCGCAACCGAAAGTGACTTGCTTGTTGATAACTTTGCTGGTTTTTGAAAAAATTAATGCCAAACTTAGGCCTGCATAATTAAGCACAAGATTACACAGGGATTTAAAAAAATCTTGAAAATACTCTGATGATGGCGTAAAATCGAAACTTTTGCCCCTTATCAAATGGGCTATGAATTTCATAATTCATGCGAAAGTCAATTTCGGTCTTTACCAGCTTCTGAGGAATAAACTGTGAAACTCCAGCGTGTCTAAGCAAGCGCAAAATGCAAACGGGATTCTAAAAAAATGCCGACAGTTCCTTGAGGATGAGTTAAAATCGAAACGTTTTCCACTTATAGAAGTCATATTGCCCTACACAATTATATCATATATACAATACATACATGACTCTCTAAGTTTTCTGGATTTTTAGAAAATAAACACCAAACTTACGCCTGCAAAAGTAACTTCCTACCAAAATCGAAGGTCCATTCAAAAATTTACCAAAAATTTCCTGACGACGACTCAAAATCAAAACTTTTTCCACATATAGAAGACGCTATACTCTACAAAATTCACTCAACAATTGATCTTCTGCTTCACTGATTATTGAGAAAATAAATGCCAGTCTTAAGCCTGCATAAACAAACACAAGGTTACATAGGAAATTTAAAAAAATGTTGAAAATACCTTGATGATGGCTTAAATTCAAAACTTTTTCCACTTATAAAACAGTCCATGAGCAATAAAATCCATACAAAAGTCACTCCCTAACTTAACATAACTCTCTCACTTTGCAAGTTTCTAATGAAATAAACGCTGCTGAAAAATCTGCGACAACCAATGAAAAATTTCCCAAAACTGCCTGATTATGACTGCTGAAGCTGAACCAGCTTTGCCCTACAAAATGCATGCAGAAGCGACTCTCTCACTTAGCTGGTTCCTGAATAAATAGATACCAAACTCCGGCTTGCAAAAACAACCTCGCGAACCAAACGCAATTTTGTAAAATTGTAAAAAATTGCCCGATTCCTGGAGAAAAAGTCGTTTTTCTCCGGCTAAAAAGAAACAGCAAAACAATGAAATGAAATAGTTGAAATTTTCCTGAAGATCGCTCAAAATCCAAACTGCGTTCACTTATAGAAGAAACTTTTTCCTACAAAACGCATGCAAAGTTTCAGTCAAAAAGATCTTGAATTCGGCATAGGCCAAAATTGGCATATTGTTGACTAACTGCACAAAACGTTAAATGTTAATAGAAAATATGTCTTTTCACGTAAGTCCTGGAGCATTCATTATTTTAAAACATTTGCTCTAATAGACAAAATCAACAAACTATGGGTAAAATAAGCGACAACGTCGCTTTTCGCGCTTTTTCAAAAGCGCCAATAAGAAACCTGCAATCAATCAACGAGCGACGTTAAAGGAGAGATAAATGTTATTTGGTGGAAGTTTATAAACTTTTACGTAGAAAAAAATAACATTTTCCAAACCAAACGGCATCCGAACCCTATTACCAACCAAACCAATTTAAACCCTCTTCCTATTTTTAGCTGATATTGATTATTTTTTGTATTTGGGCTTCAGCCTTGATTGAATCTGTGATAGTTATCAGCGCCCACCCCCAGCGCCCCACGCGAATTCAAATATATAACGGGGAATTTTTCGGGCAAATGAAACCCAGGAAAACCTTTGAGGTTACTGGCACTATCCAGACAATTTTTGGTTTTGCGTTTACCTATAGAAACTGCAGGATGTCACATGTTTAACACTCGTTAAACCTGCCGATTTCGGGATGCGAGAAGCAACATAAGTTAATCCAGAGAACTGCTGGACACCACAAAACCGAAGATCGGGATAACGTGGGACATAGCGCGGTCGCAAACACGTGTAATCGTCTAGTTTCCATCGGGATATCCAGGGAATGTGTTGCCATGGCAAGCTTGAAAGGGTGGCGTGCGCATCTTCCAGCTCCCACCAAATGGATTCGTTGCCAGGAGAAGAAGCACGTGCTCAAGATTTCGGTGCCGAGTAATGAACTTTTCCAGGATTTTCATGCTGATTGCTGTCGTTTATCAACAGGAATCAGACGGTCGCAATTTCCGGAATGGGAAAGTGTGCTTACAAAACTTGCCAGATTTTGCACAGTTTTCAAGAGTTTGTCTTGATATTTTTGCTTAAGGAGAGTTTTTCAAATATGTCGCAAAAATACTCGGGGGGTCAAAGCAGTATCTGGATGGAATTCTAAGGCGCGACAATTTCAAATAAGGCGCTTTTCAAGTGGAAAAAACTATAAACTGGCTGAATTGGTACTTACATGCTTCTTTTCCAGATGGTGCACTTTCACTTAACGCCCACCTTTAATCACTGGCCAGATTGCAATCAACTTCTACAAACTACACGCACCGAAAGTAACGTAAATGTCGGTAAATTCACCTTTGAAACGGCGCCAACCTACGCAAACCCGGTTTATGTTTGCGCTATTTACACAGTTTCTGTTTATGTGTGTTTATGTTTATGGAAAAGCTCATAATTGGCGCCCACTTAAGGCCATTTCAAGAAATCACAATTTAGTAGAACCGCGCCTACCTTTAAAACACCGTTCTTTTGGCAAAACTTTTAAGGAAGTGGTTGAACGTCCACAACCTCACCTTGGTGACAGCAAACGTCAGAAAATTGGCAAAGTGGAAAATCGAATTATTTCTAAAAAACACACCTTCTCTCGCGGAAAAACAACAACATGGCGACAAAACACATTTTTTTTAAGAGCATCAGCAGTTTTTCAATGAAAATCGGCAAAAACCGAAAAATTTTCGCAAATTTGCAACGTGAATCAAGCCCACTAATTATTGAACAACAGACTAATTTGACGCTTTGAGTTGACATCGACGCACTTTTGAAAGCTTCTGGATTGACAACTTAACGGTTTATGAAACTTTTTGCCCCGAAAACGCATCTTTTTGGCAAAATTGGGCCAGCAGAAATCGATTAGAGAAACTTGATCAATTCAGAACCAAAATATCCCATTCCAACTAATAAAACTCGCGTAGCAGGTCGAAGCTTTGAGTCTATATACAGGGTTGCTCATTAGTGCGTCAAAGTGCGATATCTCAGTAAATATGAAGTTTACAAGAAAATTCGTCCAACGAAAGTTTTTCACGTTTAAAAGGTCCACATTCTAAAATTACTTTCCAATATACAGGGTGCATGATAAACGTGTGGTAGTTACCAACTCTGGTTTTTTAAATGAAACCCCCCCTTTTTTTTGTTATTTTCAGATTGGCCGTTCAATTTTAATTTATGTT